CTATTTTGATTTACAGTGTCTTCTAATTTAACACATGTCAGTCGACAAAATTTTATAGGTTTCTGCATTCTTTGCAAACGCAATTAAAAAGTACCGATGTTTTGCATGCCTGAGTAACTGAACTAAATATGCTTAACTGCACTTATTCGCATATTCAAGGATATTTTTCCATACAACACAAACATAATGATTACCATGGGGGCCAACATCAAAATCGTTAAGTCCTCTCAGAAAAAAATGTTTGGTGTTGGGGGTCGAATTTCTTGTTTGCTGTTCAAGGAGGCTTTCACACAATAAGCTTGTAATGAAGTGGAGTCAAAACACAGGCGTGACATCAACAATAAACAAGACAGTAGCGTAGCATTAAAGACAGTCATTTATCTCTCATTGGTGAAATAAGTGGCAAAATATGGTCAAAAGTCGTGCATGCATTCCATTATAGTGTTGTTTGCGTTTCAGATTGAGAAACCCTGCGCTTATTAGGTACATACTGCTAAACTCATAACAGTTCAGGGCACGTTTGATTAGGTAACTTTTTGAGTACGTATTATGGCCTTCTTGATTTTCAAAGTCTTTTCTCTCCTCCAGAAAGGTTGGGACATTTCTAGGTTTCTACTGTTTCGTGTCAGTGTCAGCGCTCTCCCATAGTGACATTGTTTTCTTTTTGAATCTTAAGAAATTTCAGGCTGATAAAAATCAAACAGAATCAGTAGAAATCTAGAAATACCGCTACCCTTCTGAATGAAAATCAAGGATGCCATAAAGGCGTCCTACAGGTATAATAAATTGTAGGAACAACTGACGATACGGCCGTAAGACACCAAAATTGCATTTCGTACTACACAGTTAAAATTTGGTATTCATTTTACAGAAGAAATATTCCGAGAAAACATTTTCAATCAACTGTTCAGCTCATTTGGCACAGGGAAAATTTCAGATTTAGTTATAAATACGAATAGATATATGAATTATATTACATCGGCTTCAGATAAATCTAACGATATGAAACTATTCCAGATTATGCTTAAGTTTTCGATAAATACATAGATAACGATCTTGTTTCATTTTAGCCTAGACACAATTCCGTACCCCAAACATAAGTAATTATTATGACTATTCAATTTTACTTGATGCCAATTTAGAATTAAATTGGAAATATACATACATTCACTAATAGTTCATAGTTCGTTAACACCAAATTGATGAAACGTGATATTTATGAGAATTGAGAGGAACGCGAACATGTAGGAGTTATTTTATACTGGTAAGGCTTTCCGGCATTGTTCTACTTTTCGACTGATGTTGATGGTTTAATCCGCCCCGAAGTCACCCCGCTTCCAGGCAAAGAAGACCTCGCATTCCTGCACTTTTACCATCGTCAATTTCGGTATCTACGAGCCCCTTCCCACGTCAGTTGGCACACTTCAAGAATTGTACCAAAATATGCCTTTATAAACTAAAAATGACGAAACAAAAACATTTTAGATACACTCTAGTCGTAAAAATACATATTTGAAATCACTTAGACCTATAACTAATAGAACATCTGAACAAATAAACAATGTGCGAATAAATGCGCGAAGTTAACAAATCAACAATTGAAAGACTACCATTGGGTAACATCACCTTTATTTTTTATTACGGCTGAAATTCTTTGGGGCATAGTGTTAACCAAGTTTTGGCAAACATTTGGTGTAAAACAATCCCATATTTCTTGAAGCTTTTGTCTCAGTTCGGTGATCGTACGAGGAGGATGTTGTCGTAGAACCTTTTTCATCTCGTGCCACAAAGTTTCAATAGGTGACAGATCTGGACTGCTAGAAACCCATTTCAAAAGTGGTACATTATTTTCTTCCATCCACTTTATAGCCTTTTTTGAGGTATGGCACGCTGCACCATCTTGCTGAAACACAAAATCTTGGCCGGATGTCAAACATTCTTCCATCACTGGTAAAAGCGATTCTTCTAAAATGGCCAAATATTTGTTTGTATCCACATTTCCGTCAATAAAATGAAGTTTTCCTACTCCTTTTGATGACATACTGCCCCAGACCATAATGGATGCTGGAAATTTCACTTTTCTCTTCAGACAGTCAACATGGAATGCTTAATTATTTTTTGCGAATAACTGTACTGCGACTGTCACCAACACAAACTTCGAATCGGGCCTCATCACTCCATTGTATTGCACACCATTGTTCAGGTGTCCATTGTCTATGTTCTTTAGCCCATCTAAGCCGATTTTTCTTTTGCAGTGGAGTTAATAGTGGATTTTCTTTGGCCTATAAACAAGTTGTGCAACTTTAGGGTTTTTACTTCACCTTTTTTTATAAGAAAACTTACCTTGCAAGTGCTAAATCCCAGTTTGTGGGCCTCTCTACGACTTGTGGACCTCGAAATTCTTCTTCCAACAGCGTCACTCCACAGAGCACTTAATTGTAAATAATTGGCACGCTTGTTTTTCACGATTATTCTTCTTAATGCTCTTCGGTCGGCATTTGTGATATTACTTTTTTCACATATCGTGGCTTAATATTAACTGAACCAGTTACGTTATATCTTCTAACAATATTTCTCACACTGTACCGCGATAAGTCTAAGAAAGTTGCAATTTCTGAGTTTGATTTCCCAGAATTAAAAAATTTTATTATCAGTAACCGCATTTTCTCACTAATAACCTTTCCTCTACCCATTTTGAAAATCTTAACTACCCAAAACTATTTTAAACGTATTCTGACAGCTGTGATTAATAAAAACAATTGGCATGGCTTTTATTTTTCACAACCACCTATGCGTTACAGACTTATTTTGCATTGAAATGAAAATAGGTTGATATACTGTAATTGCAACATGTGTTATTTTTATGCTGCAAATTTGATTAGGGAGTGATAAAGTCGGTGTTTTCTAAATATTCATTGTTAATATTTTAAACCTATAACACCCTGCTACATTTTTATTATTTGTGTTTGACAAGAAAAAAGCTAAGATTTCAATAGTTGGGCCAACTGAAGCGGGAAGGGGCTCCAAGTATAAGGAATGGATATAATACCAAATGTAAGATTAGTTTAGTTTAGTTACATTTACGCTCGGCTAGTGAACAAAAACCTGTTTCAACTTATATCGGATTCGATTACTGTTACGGATATACTCGTAATTTCATTTTGGATATCCCATAGTTTCGGTTACGGCTATGGAGCTCCATAACATCTCTAATTTGAAAGGTCTGTGACTGGAAACAAATGATAAAATATCTCAAGGAAATCTTTCCATTTGCTGGCCCAAAAAATAAAAAATACATAGTTGATGTTGATTTATAAAGATTTTCAATTAACTCCGCTTCTCGGAAAATGTAAGATTTTTATATAAGTTTACTTACTCTGCTAGGAGATCTACTCGTAGATGAAATGTGGGCGAAGGTTCTGGGGACACCCTGTGTAGAATGTATGCCTTCTCAATATCCAATTTTAAACTACTCGATTTCATTTTTTAACGGATTTTTTTTTCAAACCGGAAACATAGTTTGACAGCTTAAGATGTTAGTTAGTCGATAAGTTCCTGATACGTGATACTGTATTCGTTGGTCTATAGAATCTACTAAGACTACACAAATTCACCGCTCTTCAAAACATGTTGTACCATTTCTGTTAGTAGTTTCAGTTGCAACCTCGGCGAACACACGTATTGCCACTATGGGATGTAAAGCACCTCGAAAAGATTATAGGACAGCGGTATATCATCTATTGTCCTTCTCAGGTTGTGCTTATCTTATGTTACAAGTTGGTTATCCATCACCTTCAGTATGTAATTTGAAAATGAACCACTCTATATAATGCAAAATATACCTAAATCATGTTCCCGCACATGCAATGAAGAATCATTGACAGGGAGCAGCAATATTTGATCCGAGAACGACTAGAAGGTGTCGTTTATCTGAAGAGTGTAGTACTGTCTAAAATTTGTGAATTGTTGTGTTACATTCATTCTGCTCCAAAAGAACAATACTTGCTCGAATTTTCATGAACCCAAAATTAAAGAATGAGAGAAGGGTAGAGCGTGAAACTATTATACAGTGTTCTTAAATGAAGTCAAAAGTTTTCATTTCCTTCGCCACTGTTGATAAGCGGAAACAATGGCGATATAAAAAAAATTGAACCTAGCACATAAAGGCAATTTTTTAAAAACTTTTTGACTTCGTACGGGAATTATAAAATTTTTGAAAGCAAGAAGCAACATTGGCAGTAAAATCTTCATTTGCCTCTATAACTTGAAACACTGTATATATTGACGTAACTAAAAGACCAGATTATAGAGAAAATGTGGTTCCTGATAATGGAAAGCATTGCGGAATGATTCTCAACTGGAGTCACACCACGGAGTCACTCAAAGTAGCGGTAATAAAACATTTGATTTACCCTGTCAAGGCAAACCGTGACTACAATCAGAAATTCATATTTACACAATAAAGGCAATGAGTGTACCTACCGCCTGCTGAAGTAATCAATGAACTCAAGTAGAAAATAAATATGAAGTTGTAAATTTGACCAAAATTTCCGTTTATTTTGAATCTGAGTGTACATAATTTTATATTATGGAATCGGCAACCAGAGTTTTCATAACTGCCAACAAAAAGGCATCAAAATTAATTCCTTCCAAATTATAATCTCACAACGCCACTGACAAAAATATAGCGTCCGTGACACTATTCTGTCTCATATAGCCTGGTTATTTATTATAGAACGCCGACAGCCTACAACGTCGGATTTGCCCTCTGTATTCGCGAGTAGCTTGTTTTATTTTCACTATAAAATATCGAAAACTATTAATTTGTGACGTGTCCAAGGTTAATGGACTATAAGAGATGACAACCTTACGAAAAAAGAAATGCATCCGGAGAATAAAAATTAAATTTGTATTTGCCGAATGTCACGTAGAGGACTGGAGAGCAGCCAGCTGACTAATCGTTCGAATATATCCACAAAATGTATATTGTAGTGAGGACGTTCACCGAAAAGTGGTGTCTGTGTGGGTGTTGAAGAGAATTAATCGAATATACATTATCATGTCATTTACTCATTATACGCTCTAGTTGGCTAACAAAACGAGAAGGAATAACAACAGACGAAATTGTTTTTTTACACCCAGGCAGCCTCGCAAGCAGAAGCCTGAATGCCAAAGAAAGAAACTTTGTTAATCCGATTTTTGAACTGCCTAAGGTTAGTAGAACTGGAAAAGCCGTCTCATGTAGATTGTTCAACAATGTCGATATCTAGTTCGGGATGTACGAAGTTCGACATGGTTAGGATGAGAGGCCGAAGTTGGCGGGTCTGTCTGACATGCACATCACGCGGCGGCATCATGAAGGGGAGTTCTGAGTCGCAAACTCCGTAGGCGAAGCGGTAGAAGAGAGCTAGATCGCAGACGGCCCGCCGGTGTGAATTGGTCCCGAGACTGTCCGTTAGAGAATCGTCATCCTTCAGTCGGACAGCTCTTCTCTAAACAGCATCGAGCAAGGATAATGAAGTCGAGGCGGCAGTATGCCAAACACTTGAGCAATACTCGAGGCTAGGTCTTATCTGGGCATTGTGCAGAGTGAGGTGGTCATGTGGGGAAAACTCAATTCTTGGCCCTAAATAAATAGCAACTCCCACTATTGACATGTTGTGTTCGTGCCAGATCAAGTCATCGCTGATCTGGACTCGGACCAGCCGAAATGAATGGCTCTTTGGCAGAACTCGGCCGTCCATCGAAACTGGATGAGCGCTAGGATGCTTCCTGTTCGTCAAGGTACAATCCTGTGTCTTGGAAGCATTAAACTATACAAGATTGTTGCATCCATAAGTAGTCAGGTCTCTCGCCAGAGTGGAAGTTGCTGTTAGTCTCCTTTTCTCCAGCTTGTTACTCAGAATTCCTGGATGTAGAGTGCTGTCACTAGCAAAGCTGTGGACTGGATTTATCATTCAAGAAAGAAGGTCGTTGATAAAAAAGAGCAACAACATCGGAGCCAAAACCGATCCTTCGGGTACATCCAAGTTGACGATGTGGGATGAAAGGAGGAGAAACCGTCAATTACGACGGATACCTTGCGGCCAGAGAGAAAGTCAGCCACCCATCTGCAAAGCTTCTAGGGAGGTCATAGGGTGGAACGCTTCCGTGATATCAAGAGCATCGCCATGACCCGCACCATAAGACTGGATGAGTTTACTCCACAATTGCGTGACGTATGCTAGGAGGTCCCCTGTGGATCGCAGGTGCCGGACACCACATTGTCGCTAATCAAGCCATGACGTTCGAGGTACTCGAGAAGATCCAGATTTATGCCCCTCTCCTTTACCTTACTTTTTGTTGAAGGAAGAATAACATACCTTGTTTCAGGAAGTATTTATTTTGAAATGTTCGTTGGCCTAACGAAATTGTTTAGATACTGTCTCCATACCTTTACACATACCAAAGATGAATAAATGATTATTTTGTATTCTGAATTATGTATCAGAGGAAAGGTAAGTAGCCAAGGACACAACTCCTAGGCCCTATTAGTCCTTGTGCGTCCTTACCTGATGTTACTGAGCGCTGGATTATCAGCCACCCCAAACATTAACGTGTTAGCGTTTTAATGAATTTTTGTTGAGTGTACCCAATGTACAAAAACGCTCATTTTTGAACATTTACAAAGATCGCAACTCTATATTTTATGGTCATAAAGTACTCAGTATCTCACGACCTACAATTCCGTTCAAAAAAGTAAGGAAGAAAGGTGGAGTACACACTAGTGTTTTTCTGTTTTTTACAACTTTGCAGTCATATCTATTTTTGAAAGAAATCAAACGGTGGCACCTAACACTTTAATTCGGTTCCGTCGTATTCCTGGTAATCTTTTCCTAAAAATAAGTGTTGTGGTGATGGACAACTACCTGAAGGTAGCAAAAATTCAACGGCACGCGATATAACCATTACTCTATTTCTACTGCACTCTGTGTAACAGCGTGGTATCAGCGTGAAGACATGAAGGTTACAATTACGTTTTCGTAGTTAGTTAATAGGAAGCCAAGGTTAATGAATTATTGACTCATTCCTGCTGACTGCTATGCGGACTGACGTTGACTGACGAAAATGAAGATGTATTCATGAAGTCAAGGGTTTTTCTTTAGAGGATTAGAGTTTTAATGTGAATATAATAAAAGATCAACAAAAAAGGCCTTATTTGTTGTATTATTTTATCCCATTACCAATTTCTTCTTCTTCTTCTGGCAAACTACTGTTCAAAAAGCCCTCCTCCTACTTATTATTTTCACTGGGTCAAGTTATCAAGCTGAAATTTGGGGTAATGAAATTGATGCGTAAATGTTGATGAAGCGGTTTTTTAAGTGGAGTGTGGTATTTTGTGATTCTCTGTTTTGAAGCTCCTCATGAGTATTTCATGATCCTAAAGTATTAAATTATGATCTTTGTAAATGGCAAATTCATGACAACAACCAATCATCAAAAAGCCATAGTATGTTATATCAATCTTATTTTCTCGAAAGGATCTGTCCGACTATGCAATAAAATATATTCATTTGAAATCCATTTGAAAAAGCTGTCAAGGTCATTATTTTTTTTACTGAGTATCTCATATCCTGTTGTACATTCAGATAGATGTAACATTTTGGCGATTAGTTCTTGAGTTATTAGTAATTCAGTATATACAAGCACGCTAGACTTTGTCAGATTCCCAGCCGGTTATACAATACTCACAATGGTCTTTAAAATAAAGTACACGATCCATCATCCCATTAAAAAAATGTTACGTCTAGCCGCCATCTTGAAATTTTCAACTGATATTTCTATGTTACAATATGTAGTAGTAGTAGTAGAAAGATTTATTTAGCACATTCGGCTACATAAACAGAATAATTGTAAACAACTTAGAACTAGTAAATTCAAGCCATATGGTGTATGATGTAAATGCTGGGCAATCTATAATTGTAGATTTAACAAGTGATTTCTCAATTTTACTTTAAATTTTGTCAAAGTTTTCTGGTCTTTTATCTCCGAGAGTATAATTTATTATATTCAATCAACCCTTGATGGAATACAGATTTGTAGCATATGTTATACTTTTTGGTCATTAAATGGAAGTCATCTTTGTTTTTGGTATTATGTAAATGATGGTCGACATTTGATGATGTTAAATTAGTTAGACTTGATGGAAATATATTATTTTTTACTTTATAAATGAATATCATTACAAGATATTTGATAAAAATGTTTACATTGAGTCATTTTAATTTGCTAAGCACTTGCCTAATTGGAGTATATTAATCTTTATTTAGTATTATTCTCATGCAATTATTTTGTAAAATTTGCAGTCTTTCAAAAATGGAATTATTTGCTAAATGTAGAATAGTCGAACAGTATAAGAAATTTGGAAGAATGATGGTATTATAGATAATTTTTCTGCTATATAAACTCAGACATCCAGAAATTCTCGATAAATATCCCACTTTACTACTAATCTTATTTATAACTTTTTCATAATGAATATCAAAAATTAATCGAGAGTCAACAAAAACCCCCAGGTATTTAAAATTTTCTACCAATTCAATATCTTCACCATCAATATTCAGTTGAACATTTGTACATTGTTTTTTTCCGATTAACAAGGCTTTCGTTTTACTTGCATTTAATTTTAGTCTGTTAGATGCTAACCATTTTGAGACAAGCTTCCAGTCTTCATTTATATAAGAGATACCAGACTGAATATTTTTAGTACTTATATAAATCATAGTGTCATCGGCGAAAATCTGAATTTTGCATTTTTTGACTATGGCAGGTAAATCATTTATGTATAAAATAAAAAGAAGTGGTCCCAGGATACTGCCCTGTGGAACACCCAACGTATTTTCAATTTTTGATGAAATAGTGTCATTAACTTTTGTAACTTGCATCCTTTTAGACAAATAATTTCTAAACCAATCTAAAACACTTCCTGTTATACCATATGCCTTTAATTTACCTAACAAAATATCTCTATCAATCGTTTCAAATGCCCTCTTCAAATCCAAAAATACTGGTATGACAACTTCTTCTACGTCTATGGCTCTTCTCCAATTCTCAGTTACCAACTGGAAAGCTGTTTCTGTGGAATATTTTTTTTCGAAAGCCTGCTTGCGCCTCCACTAAACTTTTGTTTTCTTCTGCATTAATTGGTCATGCACTATGGACTCTAATAATTTTTCAATGTCTGGTAACACATTTACTGGTCTCATATCGCTGCATCTTTTAGAATTTTTTATTTTGGGAACTGGTGTTATTGTAGAGCATTTCAAATTTTCAGGAAAAGAACTGCTTCTCAGTGAACTATTGATCCAATTTAATACAGGATATCCCAAAATTTCGAAACGGTTTTTCAGCACGTTTTTAGTAGTGATTTCGGCACAGTTGTTATTTGATTTTAAACTGTTTACTTTTTTTCTTAGATAATTCAATGATACGCTGTGAAATTTTGAAAGTGTATGCAACATTTCCCCCTGGAAACTGATTTTCATATAGTCAGGTGCAGCATTGGCAGTACCCACAATATCAACAATACTTTCCACAAAATATTCATTTAGTTTGTTTGCAATCACCAAAGAATTTGTTTCGGTACCGTTTTCGAATTGAACTTGATTTACACAATCATGCGGCTTTGAATTGATCAGTCTTTTTAAAGTCTTCCACATCTTTACACTGTTGCACTTGTTGTTATCGATTTGTTTATCGTAGAATTTCCTTTTTTCTTCTTTAATTACATATACACATTTATTCCTAAGAGTTTTATATACCTCCCAATCATCATTCGATTTTGTGAATATACATTTATTGTATTGTTTGTCTCTCAAATTTTGAACTGCCTTAATATTCTTAATATAGTCATGTGTCAATTTCATCATTACGAATTTCATCTTGCTAACTTAATTTGTCCAAAAAATAAGTACTGTATAATATTTGCAATGTAGCTACGAACGTCGGCTCTCAAAGCATCCATGTTATCTCGTCTATCGGCGAACAGATAGAAAAGTAGCTCAAAAGCAGGGTCGCTGATTAGGAATCTGTTACCAGATTGTCTATAAAGAAAATAGCGGAACAAAAACGGCGGACTATCTTTTGCAACATTTATTCTTAGTCTTATATATTTGTGCTTTTAAGGTAGCGAATCAGATGTCAAGCCTAGTCAAACTTTAAACACAAAATGTCGAACCCAAAATGGCCGAAGATTTTTTTTCAATTGCATTTGATGGGTTTTCTTAGTCGTTGTTCATGATTCTAACGTTGAATCGCCACTGAAGCTAACATAGAACAAAAATAGTTTGTTACAAAAAGTGCAGATAGAATCTTGTTATAATATTCTCGAGATCCATGTTCAACACTGTCTTCAAACTTCCACTATGGTTAGAAACAATAAAAAATCTGAATTAAAGAAAACATATAAAAATTTCAAACACGTTCACTAATCAAAGCTTAGTAACCTTACCAAAGTCTCTAGATGTCTAGATTATGGCATCTTCTATGTAAGGACCAAAGTCACATTCCTAGTGGTACCCTATTGCACAACCGAATGCTTGAAGCAAGAATAGCTCAGATGAGCTCAGTCTGTAAGTTGAGGTATCTCAGGTAATTCGCGGGTAATTTTTCATGAGTTCATATTGTCCTACACAAGTATCTAGGTTAATACGTATACTAGACTTCTTTTATTTTTTTCCAAAAAAAGTTGATTCTGTTGAGCTTAGTGGATATGCTATTTCGGCTCCGTTCTCGCATTTGCTTTTTTGAATTGGCTATTTAGTTTACCATCTCTCAAGCATGTACTTCTTCCAGGCAAATGCTCCAACACATCAGGACCATCCCAGAGATAATTCTGTTAGGAAACAACTCGCCGAATGTGAAGAGGATACCGGTGTACTCTTTCATGGTGCGACATCCTAGAGGAATATTCCTGCATCACAACTTCGTCTGTGCCGTGCTAAACGATGTATTCGGTATCCAAGCCAGGGCTGGGTGTCCCTGCTCTGGAGTTTATGCACAAGATTTACTGGGGATTGATCAAAGCTTGGCGGATCAGTATGAGAATATCATACTCGAAGACAGGTTTGTGATCTTTATTCATTTCTTCCAATTTAAGTTCCATTATCTCAGGAGTTTAATTGGGAAATTTCGAAAATAAGCACAATAAGATCTAGTCAAACAATACTGGAATTTAAAACGTATCAATTTCAAGAAGTTTGTTATCTTTCCAAATCTCTTATGGATATAATCTAAAAGCAGAACTGATGTTATGTTTTCAGGCGACTAAGCAGCTTAAACCTGGGAGCAGAGAACTCCACCCTCCGACTTCTCCGACCCGGCTTCACGAGAATCAGTCTTCCATATTTCATAAACGACTCTGAACTGGCTTTCATTATGGAGGCGGTCAAAATGGTGGCGACCGAAGGTTGGAAATTGCTGCCGCAGTACGTGGTGGACCTGGACACTGCAGAATGGAGACATCACTCGAACGCCGTGTCGAAAGATAGGAAGTGGTTGTCTTCCATCAGGTATGTAAACATTCAATTACACGTTCAGAGTCCATGCCTCTTCCCAATAAAAGCATCCGCAATCTCTAAAGCTAAGTGTCCACAAGAAGACTAAAACCTCAAGAGGTTTTTGTCTTCTGAGAAATGTATGTGTTTCCACAGAACATGAGGATTGAAACATTAGAGTTTTGCTATTTGCATTTTTTGCTCTCACATGAGACTGCTTCTCTGAGCTCAGTTATTTCCACAGTACCTACCTGAGGGAACGTGTGCGAAATATTGTACATCAGAACATTATTGATCATTATCAAATAATTGCGGGTTAAAGGTGCCAACCAAAAAGCATAGAAGAAAAGCGGCTGCTTGTTATTATTATCCTGCTGTTAAGACCGATACTGTAAACGGTAAAAGGTTTCACAAATGTTGGATGGGAGATTGGATTAAGAAAAGAGGAAACAATATAATGGTAACGTTATTAGAACAACTACAATGGGATGATCAGGAATATAATAAAAACCTTCTTTGAATATCCGCTGTTGATTTTCGGTATTTGCTAGCCAAATTAAAGTTTGCAATAGAAAAACAAGAGACACATATACAAAATGCAATTAAAGCAGCTGAGCGGTTTTCGTCCATAGCGGATGTTCTCAATTTTCTACTTTTATAGCTTTGTGAGCAGTCCCACAAATTGGGATTAACTCTACTATTATGACTCAGGTCCAATTGAAACTAGAATGTTTCCTTTTCAAAACTCTCTTTTCGCTAGGTTCACTCATTTCCCTAAACGCAAGTTTTATCTCACGATATAACAACGTAACTCACGTGCAACAAGTGCAAGATTACCATGAACCTCGTTTTATTTATATTAAGTGACCACCTTAACTGTTCACTTACACGTACCTTCGTTAAAATTCTCTCGAGATCTTTACTATTTTCTGCAAGATTGCATACCCTTTTTTACACCAGCTGAAGTTGCTATATTGGGAAGGACCCCGCACAAAACATATTGAAAATCGATACCATTCGATTTTATGTAAATATTGAGTATGATAAACGTTATGGTAGTCATTATTGAAATGGGTAATGGGGGGGGGGGGGTCAAAACAAGTAAAAAGTTCATATGACCCATGGTCCAAAAGTCAATAGATTTTTGTCTACAGGGCTTTATAGTTTACAACTTTAAGTGCTTTATATCGACCACAATCACCACAATCTTAATAATTTTTATAATCTAATCTAGAACGTGTTTAAATTGGCTAATTAAAAAATAAATGGCATTCAGTTTTTCTAAGTTAAGCCAAAATTTGTAGTCAGTAAGTAAGTTTCATTAAATTTAATATTTAAAACACACATGACAACAGCGCGTCGGTCTTTCATCACTCTTATCGAACCGGCAATCGATCGCAAACGGTAAAGTTATCGTTTTGCATAGATAAATTACTTTATCATTTTGTCGAGCAGAGCATCGGGCGTGTTGTTTTGTTTTTGTTCGCGTACGTCGTCGTGTTTATTTACAATGTTCTCGAATCAAGAGTTCGCCGACATGTTGTTAGTTTACGGTGAAGCTCGTCAGAATTCAAATCTTGTAGCTCAAATGTATCGCGACAGATTTCGGCAACGTGTACACCCAGACAGAAGGACATTTGTGCAAGTGTACCAAAGACTTCGAGATACAGGAAGTGTTCAGCCCACTAATATTCGCACTCGTGAAAGCCAGGTAACTGTAGAGCAGGAGGAACAAATTTTAAATATCGTGGAAATCAATGCAGATATCAGCACTCGGGAATTAGACTGCCGCGTATTGCTATCGCATACAGTCCATAGAATCCTACGGGAAAATTTGCTTTCTCCCTACCATGTACAACGAGTGCAGGCCTTGTTACCAGAAGACCATCCTCGCAGACTAACATTCTGTCAGTGTTTTTTGCACAAAAACATTGAAAATCCGGATTTTTTTTAAAACATTCTAGCGACAGACGAATGTACTTTTACGCGACACGGGATATTAAATTTCCATAATACTCACACGTGGGCCCAAGAAAATCCTCATACGATTCGTGAAGGTCATTTCCAACAACGTTTTATAATAAACATTTGGGCGGGTATTCTTGACGATCAGGTAATTGGCCCTTTCGAGTTACCCCCAAAGTTGTCAGGAGAAGGCTACCTTAGCTTTCTAGCCAATAACCTACCAGAACTTTTGGAACAGACCTTAGACAACATGCCATTACAACGGAGACAGAATTTGTAGTTTCTTCATGACGGGACACCACCACAGATTCTTAGAGGCGTCATTCACTATTTGAATGAAGATTATCCAAATCGCTGGATCGATCGAAATGCTCTTGATCCTCGAAAATGGCAAGCAAGATCTCTTGACCTCAATCCGATGGAATTCTGGTATTGGGGAGAACTTAAAGGGGTGGTCCAATAACAACTGAAGCACAACTTCGCGAAAAAAATTTTAATGCGGTTGAAATAATAAATGGACAACTTCGAGGACCTAGAGTAAGATGAAACTGGGTTCGTTGTAATGAAGCTTGTGCGGAAAGTGGAGGTCGACATGTTGAACACCTTTAAATGCAAAAAAAAGTGCAGTGTGGGTTTTAAAAAGAAAAACAATGTATGTATCAAAATTGTTCCCTATTCATAAGTGGATTTTTTAAAACGTTTAAAACGTTCAATAAACTTTCACACACCAGGTGAAGCGCTGAGACAGTTAGTGGTAAGTCCGTTTCTTTAATTGTTTGCATTTTACGAGTACATTATCAAATAATGAAATAATGCCTAAGAGCCAAAAATAACAAACTCCATCTTTATTTACACTGCGTTCCGTCGTAATTTGCGTCTCACATTGCGGCGTTGTCAGATTTTATTTTACTCTAAAGTCGCTTTTCTCTAAAAAAATGCCGTTTTCACCCACTCTATCACCCATTTAAATAATGACTATCGTTACTTTTACACCCTGTATTTCTCGCTTTCCTTAACAAAAGTTGTCATGGGACCAAAGCAATCCCATGATTAGTTTCTGAGAGAACGGCAGAATTGTGGATGTGTCTATTGTGGTTTTCAGACCGAATACCCAGAGTTGTTAAACTGAGGAAAGCATTTCATTTAAAACCCTTTTAGGAAGGGGTGTTGGGAGGTGACATGTTGATCTTGGCATTGACCTCTGACAAGGTCCATTTAAGGGTAAGCTTATTTTTATACGTTGATACTGAAATGTAATGGGCATCGAGAAATCAAAAAAAAAATCCACTCAAGACAGATTTTGTGACATTGCAAGGTAATTCGAGGTCATGTTGATTTCGAAGGCGAAAGAGAAAGAAAAAGATGCACTAATGTGAACATAGCTTTAGGTATTGTAATGTATTGACTATTAATTTGAGTTTCTCTGTTTTGTCCTGCTTCCGGTATATTGAACGGTTTGGGTCTACTTTTTGGAAAGCCAATGATTTCCAATATCGTGGAGAACATATCAGAGAAAATGTTTTGAAATTTCAATATCGCCCATAGCTCTTTTATCCTACCTTGCTTTATAAAATCTTAAAATATACATTCTATTTGTTTAGTGATTTAGAGAAATGGGCACGACTTCGACAAGTATTACTACGCAATGATAATTGTTCAACATACCGGCACATACATCTACATTAAAAAAATGTTTCCTTTACACGGAACCATCTCTTCTTAATAATTGTTTCAAATTTGCCGAAGCATGTTCTATCAATAATTTTAAAAGTGATTTAAAAAAATGGTATTACAATTGCAATTCATTGAAGCCACAACCACTTAAATGCAGACTCTTCAAAATAGTTGTTCCTCTTATGGCTTTTCTATAGTATGAAGTAATGCATACATACTCAACATTGTTATCCATAGTATGTATATAAGTTCCACAGCTGTAGCTTAGTAGGCTGAGGTGAAAAATGGTATTGTTAACCCTCAGCCCTTTGGAATATTATATATTTTGTATTTGTTACGAATATATACTAAGTGACATATAAATCCGAACACCCAGTTTAAATGGTTTTATTTTAATAAAATTTTGTATAAGTACTTAATGAAGCATAATAAGTAAATGATAAAAATTTCAAAATGATTGCACTGCTTTAAAGCCCTTTGACCTTTAATAATGTGTGGATGCACCCTGATGTGCTACGCATTCTCCAACGCGCCTAGGCATGCTTCTGATCAGGTGGTCAATGTCCTCCTGTGGTATCTCATTCAAGGCAACTACCAACTCCTCTCGAAGTGCTTCTAGAGTCTGAGGAGGACGTTGCAAATTGAGCAATCTCCTACCCATCATATCCCATGTAACGGTTTCACCGTCCGATCGTATTTATTAAATCACTTCTCGATTATCATTTCATTAATCCCATCTCTAGCTTTTTTGCTTGGAAAATTTTCCGCTTGGAGCGCTTGATGCGGAGTTCCAGATCTGCGATCTTCCTCGCGCTTTTTTTTCACCTGAGCCGCCGATCGAACAACGGCTAGAAATTTCTTCTCAGTAGCACAAGGTTATATAGCACCATGTGCTAGATTTCTAGAATGTGTGTCCGTATAGGACAAAAATGATTGGGGCCACCCCCTTTCTCTTTCCCTTTCACTTTGCCTAGCCTTGGCCAATATTTTCACCCATGCATGTGCCTTGGCAGCGCCATCGCCTTTAACTTCGCCTACAACTGGTTGTGAAGCCACTATATGGAGGTCACCCCTCATAACTGGGACCTTCCCTTCAAGCCCCTGGCCATCCTGGCTTCAGTCGAGTAAAAATGGACCAGCGAAAGATAAGTCGATAGCGTTATAGCAGCGCCAAAGATGTAAAATGTATTTTGTTCTTTAAAACTGTAAAATTGTAATGTAATGGAAATGTTTTTTTTTTGTTAAATAAAATCTGTTAAATTTTTGTGTTCTGTTTGTTCTTCTATCCTCTAGCCATGCCATGGTCGACACACAGCTACACGCCTTTAGATGTCCTCATGCCACCGACTGAGCTACCGGAAGCTAATTGTAACCCC